ACAATTTAAACTTCTTATTGAATAAAATTGATAAACAGTATACAGCCAAGTATTAGGTCTACTCTCACTATCTCTGTTTGAAAGTTCTTATGTAAGTGCCATAGCTCACCTCTCCTCCCATTAGGTGCTGTCACTCAGGTATGTGCCTGTCGTGCATGGGGTTTCTTCTCCAGATCCAGTACTGGCTCTGCTCCATATCCAGAGCTGCTGATTTGGCTAAATTCAAGTTCCTCTCCCACTTCTGTCAACCACTTTTCTCTACAACATATCAGTGTCCTCCTCAAATACCGCCATCACTCTGAGAAATCTAATCAGGCTTAAATACACACCTTTCTTTGTAATTATAAGTGCTTTAATTCCTGAAATCTGGCCAGCTGTCTCTGCATTAGCTCCAGTGTTGACTCAGCGCTGCCTCTAGTGACAGTGTTTGACTTGAATAGATTTGTTCAATGGACCCAATATTTGTCTTAAAGGCGCAGTATGTAACTTTTCTGAAAGGGGTTCCACCACCTGCCTGTCATGGAGCTGTTTTCCTTTTCCTGGAATGATCCACAGTATGGCATTAAACTTATCAATATTGCATTTATTCAATAATAATAAAAAAAAATAAAATAAATAAAAAAAATACATAGACATACATATCTTCAAAAATTAGATGTACACTCAATATTGTGTAATTAATACACACTTAAAGTGTACTATGTAACTTTTCGGTTGAGGCTCTGTCACCATTTTGTATCTATAATCATTGCTCTGCTTCAAATGTTCCACAATGTGACTTTAAACAGATCTGCCTTGCATTTTTTCAATTACAGGTTGCTTTATTACTCAAAAATACCTTGAAAAACAGGTATTCTGACTGTGCCTCTCCACAAATCTGACCAGTAACTTGGCCTGGTTTGATCCCTATGATGATATAAAGGTTTAATGCCTTACTGTGAAACACTTCAGGCAAACCAGTAATTTCTCTGTGAAGAAAACATTTGATGGTCCCTCCTCCAGAAAAGTTACATGATGCACTTTTAAATGTGAAAATGTGCAAATGTGAAAGTGTATGGATAATTATTGACAAAGTGGAAGAGAATGTCAATATTTTCTCTGCCTTTCTTTAGGTAAAATAAATCAATTTCTTAGTAGTAACATGCTTAAAGTTGGGGCTTTTATCTAGAGTGGTATAAAGTGTTGATCATGGGAGAGAGTAGAGCCATCTTTAATCAGGTCAGAACACGAGAAAGCACTTTTAGGATGGAGGAAAACATGCAGCAGTGGGGAATACAGCGTGACCCATCAGGAGAAAAAGTGAATAAAGAACACTCACAACAGCCCGATCAGCAAACAAGTCCACATTTAGAAAACTTTAAAAAATAATGACTGTAACTTTTCGGGTTGGGCTTCCTCCTGGAATGTTCCACAAACTTTTGTCTTGCAATTATTTAAATCTTTTAACTATTTAGATGGTTTTATTATCTTACAAAATATTCATTCTTACACTCTGAGTGAGGCAAAGCAATATCATCTTCAGATACAGTAAGTTTGATTTAACTAGAGTGAAGGTAATTCTAACTAAGACCAAGATAACCCACTAACAGAATCATGGTTATATTTTATTTTCGCTTAATGTGAGTTTGAGTTTACGGGGATACTGTTTTAAGCTTTTAATCCTGGAAAAAAAAAACAAGCTGCAGGTCCAAAATAAAGAGTCCTACTATTAAATCCAACAATTTTGTCCAAGGACACAATGTCAGAACGCCCATCCAGCTAAAATCTCCTATATAGCCAGTCTACATTCTGCATGGTCCTGACTTGCTTTTGGTCTGGGCACTGTAAGAATGCCCCGTTTGACCCTTAATATGAGATAATCATTGTATGTGGACAAAAGATGTATTTCCCCATAAATCTCTATGCAGTCTCATGTATTTGCAGAGCCCACATGGCTGTCCTCTGTGGAGCCAGTCCTCTCATGGTTCCGTCGCCTCTGGGTTCAGCTGTTAGCTTCAGAGCCAGTGTCAGGTCGTATCTCATAAGAAACAGTGGAGACGCTTAGAGGAGCTTTTATGGACTGGGCACTGTGCTGGTAGTTACTGTAATGCTGCTCTATGGCTTTTGTAGACTCTTTAAGAGCGTTTAGGCTTGTATACAAAGAAGACAGGATATACGCGCTATAGGGCTGCACAGTGTAGCGCACACAGCACAAAATTAATATCTGACCAAAGTATAATACAATCATTTAAATTCTTGCTGACCACGATTAGTCAGTTTCATTCCTGGAAGGACATATGAAAATCCCAATAAAAAACTTTTATCATGATTTTTTGCCAGTGCTCCTTAATGGCCTTGTTCGCGTGCATACCAAACTCTGATTATAATTAGATTTCTGGACCTTTACCTTATTATTTAAATGGAAAATTGCAGAGTCTAATGTGAGATTCTAAGGGACCGTGATCAGAAAGAAATTAGATGATTTTGCTTTTTGCATGTCATTGTAGTGATCTTAAAACTCAAAGAATTCCAATTTTAATCAGATTTGAGTGTGCATGTAACTGCAGTGATTGTCACCATTGAGCCCAGCAATTTTAATTCACTAATTTAAACATTTGTTAAATTAATATGTTACAGTATACTTATGACCAGTTCTCAAATCAATGAAATAATAACATTAAATAAATATATTACATCACATCTTTCCATTTAATTATTTTGTTCTTATCGAAAGATGATTAAGATATAAAAGTTATTGACTTAAATGTGCATTGTGTGACTTTTCTTCTTCTTCTCTCTTCATAGAAATGTTATTTCTTTGTCTGGAATATTTCACAATATGGTATTCATTAAACCTTTCTGTCTTCATGGAGACCAAACCACACCAAGTTACTGGTCAGATCTGTTGAGAGGCAACCCCACTTACAGTCAGAATGTCTGTTTGTCTAGGTATTTTTCAGCTATAAAACCACCTACATATCCTTGAATAAATGTAAGGTATATCTGTTTAATGACAACGACATCTCCATAGAAACAAAAAGTTACATAGTTCATCTTTAAAAAAAACATTAACATGAAATATTGAATGAAAAAGTTGTCATAATATTCAAATTTTTTTGTGTGAATAACATAATTAGCACCGACACTGTCCCGTGTATTTGCCACATTGTTCATTGTGTTTCTTGATTTCATGCCAGTGCGACATTTTGGACAGTGCAGGGTTTGGCTTCATGTCCGTGGTGATGTTGAGGCTGCTGCTGGAGCTGGTGTTATTACCCCAGAGATTTCAGACAATCATCCTCAAATCCCCATTATTAGACACACATCTGAAAGCAAAATAAACTCCTGAATGAGAAGTGAACCCGCAGGCCGAGCTCGTATTAATCTAATGTTCACACCTTATTCATAGAGTGTGAGTTAATTTCCGATCTGCTTCACAAAGATAACATAAAGCTCCCAGGGTGATGGTGTTTGTGAAGTCAGAGGCACACTTTCCCAAGGAGTAAAGGAGTTTTATTCACTGTTTAATGACCAAGAAGACTATCCATTATACAACTATTACAATGTACAATATTACAGTCTTATCACAAGGAGATTGAAGAGCTAAAAATAGTCAGTGAATACTTAAAAGGGGTTTGGAGGACACTGGCAGAGTGGTAAACAGCATGCCCTCCCTGCTTTGTCTACACCTATGGATGATATGCAACTCATGGATGCAAATTTGTGAATGATTCTTGGATAGGTTGGTTCAGAGGTGCCTTATAGTTTATACTTGCTCTATAACTTAGGGTAATACTTTGTGGTTTCATAATGATCTGTTGACTTTAACATTAACAAACACTTATTTTCATCAGTTCACTTACATTCTCGCTTATCAATAACAAATCATAATTTATCTGTATCCACACACTGTATTGAAATTTCCGTGGAATATAAGTGTATCCTAACCAGGGGTATTAGGGCATGAGCACTTGCTAAGGAAAAGAATGGTAGAATTGAGTACGGTAGTACTACATTTTTACATACATAGAATTTTTTCATTTTGCTGTAAATAACAAAAACAAGAACATATCATTGACCATATACTTTTAAACTCGGGGTGTAACAATATCCACGTCTCATGATACAATATTGTCACGGTATAAACCTCTCATTGTACGATATTTATTGCAATATTTTGTGGAGGCAAAACTGTGAATATGCAACTTTTTCTTCTCAAAATACCTTGAGAAAACTTAATCCAAAGAAATAAGACTTAAAAGTGCTTTGAACTGTTATTTCTTCTTGTAGTCAACACTGAAATGGAGCAAAGGATCATGATCCATGTAGTTCCCTCTGTCTTTTTTTTTTTTTTTTTTTAGCTATTGCGGCACCATAACTCTTAGTTTAATCAAAGAGACTTGTAATTTGATATATTGTGATGGTCCATGATATTATTGTGAGAACTTGGATGATACGATATGATATTTTGGTTAATGTTACATCCCTATTGTAAACAGATTTATAACTACAGATAAAACTCTTATGGGTAGGAGACAAAAAAAAGTTGGGACCACTGCAAGGGCAATATATTAAAAAAATGAAAAATGCTGCATTTGTTTGGAAGTTATGCAAAATTAGAATATCAGTAATATAATAATAATAATAATAATAATAATGTCATTTCCCAAAGAATTATATAAAGTGATCTTTGTGCTGGACTTGAGCCTCAGCCAAAATATTTAAAGGCACATTTTATCACATTTCAGATGCTTGGTTAAAATCACATCTGAAGATTGTTATCAATAATAATAATAATAATAATAATAATAATAATAATAATAATAATAATAATAATAATAATAATAATAATAATAATAATAATAATTGTGTATATATATATATATATATATATATATATATATATATTTTTTTTTTTTTTTATCAAGATATACATTTTTGTCAATATTGCCCTCCTATAATGATAAGCTCTATTGAACAACAGCATAACCAATGTGTTGTCTGTGTGTTGTGTGTTGCAGGTGGTGGTGGAGGACCTCACAGCCCAGTGCTGGATCCCGTTGGGGACTGTCAGAGCGGTTTGGGCCCGTGAGACGCAGGAGGGTGCATGGAGGGATCACGGCGTGGAGGTGGGGGGTCCTTGGCCTGGCTCTGCTTAGGCCTGGTGTCTGTGGCCTCCTCCTTTGTGTGTGCAGAGGCCAAGACCACCCCGAGTCCACTGACACCCCTGAAGAATGGCACATGTGAGCACAACACCAAGTGCCATCAGGGCATCATCCTTCCCATATGGTATCCAGAGGACCCTTCCATGGGAGACAAAATCGCAAGAGTTATAGTGTACTTTGTTGCAATGATTTACATGTTCTTGGGAGTCTCCATCATTGCCGACCGCTTCATGGCCGCCATTGAAGTAATCACATCCCAAGAGAAAGAGATAGTGATCAAAAGACCCAACGGAGAGACGACTACAACGACCATTCGAGTTTGGAACGAGACAGTGTCCAATCTGACCCTTATGGCTTTAGGCTCCTCTGCTCCAGAGATCCTGCTCTCCATCATTGAAGTTTGCGGGCATGAATTTGAAGCTGGAGCGCTAGGACCATCCACAATTGTCGGCAGCGCTGCTTTCAACATGTTCGTAATCATTGGTCTTTGCGTTTTAGTTATTCCCCAAGGAGAGGTCCGAAAAGTCAAGCATCTCCGGGTTTTCTTCATCACTGCTGCTTGGAGTGTTTTCGCGTACATCTGGCTGTACATAATCTTAGCTGTCATCACTCCCAATGAAGTCCAAGTGTGGGAAGGCCTCCTAACTCTGGCCTTCTTTCCCATTTGTGTGGTCCTTGCTTGGATCGCTGACCGCCGCTTGCTTTTCTATAAGTTCATGCATAAGAAATACCGCACTGACAAGCATAGGGGAGTCATCATTGAAACAGAGAGTGAACGATCTAAAGGCATTGAAATGGATGGGAAGTTGGTCAATTCTCACTTTATGGATGGAAGCGCAACCTGTAATCTCATCGGTCTAATTGAAGGCAAAGAAGTTGACGAATCAAGACGAGATATGATTCGTATCCTGAAAGACCTTAAGCAAAAACATCCCGAGAAAGAGTTGGATCAGCTGGTTGAGATGGCGAACTACTACGCCTTGTCACACCAACAAAAGAGCAGAGCCTTCTATCGAATCCAAGCCACACGTATGATGACTGGTGCTGGTAATATCCTAAAGAAACACGTGGCAGAACAAGCAAAAAAATGCTCAAGTATCCAGGAGATCCACGTCGACGAACCAGAAGAGTATGTATCAAGAATCTCGTTCGAACCAGCTGTTTATCAGTGCTTTGAAAACTGTGGTGCTGCCATCTTGACAATTACCAGAAAGGGTGGGGATGTTGACAAAACTATATTAGTGGATTACAAGACAGAAGATGGCTCTGCAAATGCTGGAGCTGACTACGAGTTCACAGAAGGGACAGTGATGTTCAAACCAGGTGAAATAATAAAAGAAATCAGCGTTGGTATTATTGATGATGACATTTTCGAGGAAGATGAGCATTTCTTTGTGCGTTTGAGCAATCTACGAGTACTTGACACTGAGGATGAAGTCTTGTCGGCCAATAGTCTCCCATATCCCAAAGCGATGCTGGGGTTCCCAACTGTAGCCACAGTTACCATTCTTGATGATGACCATTCGGGCATCTTTACGTTTGAGAGCGGCTCTGCGCATGTAAGTGAGAGCATTGGCATTATGGAGGTGAAGGTGCTCAGGACATCCGGTGCCAGGGGGACAGTCATCGTGCCTTATCGCACCATCGAGGGCCTGGCCAAAGGAGGAGGGGAGGACTTTGAAGATACCTATGGAGAGCTGGAGTTCAAGAATGATGAAACCTGGTAGGACCATTTTTCTTATGTTTGTGGCTGATTTTGAAATAGACTTTTTGCAACCTTACTGCATTCACGCCATAGACTGTATACATAAACGGACATAGCTAACCCGCTAGCAGTCGCGTTCCAAATAGGAACTGAGCATGAGGGCACTTCCATTAACCCGGAAGCCTGCTCTACATGATCCTGATGTTTTTATTTCACAATTTTGTCTGTAAATAAATAACTCAGCTCCAAATTTGCCTCTATAACTGCTAGGTTCATGAGCTTCTTTTGACTGGAGCTGAATGCTATTGGTGATATTGTACTTCCTTAGTCCACTTTTTTATACTGTCTGTGATTCACACTCACTAAACATCTGCACCAATACTTCTGTGCTTTTAGTATGTGTGATGTGTGGACCACTGTTCACATGACTGAACAAGAGTGGAGTATTTATTTAGATAATCTTAAGTAATAAAAAATGTGAAATTGTTACCACTAGTTAATAGGCTTCTTGTGGTGCTCTTAAAACTCTTGTTCTAGTTTAAACCATGGTTAGAACAGTTCAGGAATATTAGATTTTTACACAATATGTTTTGATATAATAAATGAAATACCCAAGATCACCTATCAAGATCAAGATCACAAGAACCTAGATACTTAAATGTATGCATTTTGTTCTTGCACCATACAGATTTATGCATTTGTCGTTTGACTGGGGTACACCTGTTGCTAAGCGATATAGAAACATAAATTTAGCTTCAAAGCTGTGTTTGACATTGGTGCGTTGTATAACATTTGCTTTGATTCAGAGTTCTTTGCCACTTGACATCATTTAACCTAAACACACTTTGGAAAGCTTTCGTCTGATGTTTGAACTTGCCGTATAGTCAACCCTTTTTATGTTTGAGCAGTGAGAGGGCGGAGCGTGCACACTGACTTTGTCACAGTGTTTTCTTCTCATCTGTTTCTTTTAGTGGCAGTTCAGAGAGCACGTCTCATGCTATGGGAATTTGTCATTCAAGTTTGAAAGTTCTTAAGTCATCCTCCCCAATGTTTCCCTTTAATCCTCCATGCTTTTTGTTTAGTAGTTTTCATAATAGCTTTAATTTTTATTTTATTTTATTGTATTTTTTTTGAAGTTCTGTTATGTTTTATCATACAGTAAAAGACTGATCATTGCTAATAAGGATAAGATAGGTAAATGAGTTAAAGATACAGTGCATAACTTATTCAGTTTATTTATTCAATTATGGGTGTTTTTATTGCTCTAAAATACCTTTACCTGCTTGTCTGTATGGGGATGAAATAAGTTAGATGTTTAATGATTAAGTTTAATGCCATATTTTGGAAGATTGCAGGCAAAGCACTAACATCAGAGACAAGAAAAGTTACATAGTGTACCTTTAAAGTCTTTGGAGATAGAACATAATTGTTTAATTGTGTTTCATCTCTGTAGATTGATGCAAGGTTGAGGAGGATTTTTATTTTAATTAATTTGATCAAGTACCCAGCAAATGTAATATAAGTAAATAGTGTAAAATAAATTAAATACATTAAAATAAATTTGAGAAGCTGAGGTTACTAGAAAACCATTCATGCAAGTATTACTACAACAATATACTTTCTTACTCTTACTACTACTGTTGCTTCCACTGCATTTTAAACTGCATTTACTCCCAAATGCTAAGTACCATTGTTCACATTTAAATATGTCGTCTATAGCTTATAGTTCCTTAACATTTGGCTCTACTGTAAAGAATCAGTTTTTCGTTTATGGTATCATTTCATGAATCATTGCACGTTTCACTTCATAAAGTCCACAGTGTTGTATTTCTATATTAAAAAGTACCCTAGAGAGGTCAATAATGATAAGGTGCTACTGTTTTTTCTTGCATATAAAGTAGCTTTACATGAGAAACTGGCACGTATGAAAAAAAATTGCTAACACTTTATAATAAGGTATATCTACAAATGAATTCTTATGAAACATTTTTTAAATATTTTATAAATGAGTAATAACACATTTCTTCTCGTTGTTAATTATTATTATTAAACCCTTGTAGAGTTCAGTTACAAAAACACATATCCCTGTTTTAAAAAACTGGCAAAAAAGTAATTCTCTTTTTATTGCAGTTCTACAGTTATTATCAATGGCAGTAATGTAAAGTAATGTGGATTTTATCAGGGAGGGATGGAATATTATTTAGATTGCAGTAAAATGCTTTTGGATTTTGAAAACATTTCTATACAGAGTGAACTGTAAGCCTAAGATCACAACACTCATCTGTTTTTGCAAATAAAACCTGTTAATGGGTAATTTTCTGTGGTACTCAATTTTACTATTTGAGTAAAAGTACAGATACCAGAGCAGAAAAATAATCAAGTAGAAGTATCACATGAAAAAATCTGTTTAAAAATGTACTTAAAGAGAAAAAGTAAAAGTATTCATTTTAATACAGATTTGTGCTGAATTTTTGTTTAATAGAAACAATCCTGCTTTTCTTGCTAAATTACTTCTACTTTTCAGTCCAGCTCTAAAATGGGGTGGAGTAGAAAGTACAGATACCTGCTGTTGAATGTAGTTAAGTAAAAGTAAAAAGTATCTACTCTAAGATGTACTTAAGTAAAGTACAGATTCCTTAAAATTTTACTTAAGCACAGTTACTGCTTTACTAGTTTACTTTACTACTGCTTTACTTTACAAAATGATTAGTTAAGGGTTAATAAACAGTATAGTCTTATTATAAAGTGTTACCAAAAGTATAAATAAAATATTGATTTGTTGATTTCACATATAATAGTAGTTTACAATCACCATGTAGCGTGACTGGGGCAGGGGTAATACTTGTAGGTGGTGGGCTCCTGGGTGCCATGACGATCCAGGAGAGAGACCCAAAGAGGAGCACGAGTATGGGGCCGATCAGCATGCTCCTGGGGCCCTCTCTTTCTCCAGGACATGGGTTTGATTTATGTGAACAGCTCTTTCGGGGCCACGTCTGAGGGGAGAAGAGAGGAGAGATGTGAAGAAAATACTATTATTAAGATACCGCTGTGATGTTGTTGAGAAAGAATCCCGCTCTATTGATCTAGGCATTGTGATGCAGTGTGTAGCTGTTGATACAAAGAAAGAGACAGCTGTGTGTGTGTGTCTAGCTGTGAATTTATAAAAAAAATGTTGAAATCTAAGAGAAGATTTGGGGCGTGTGATCAAATAATTATCACATCTGAAGTTTTCAATTGAACGCCGGGGTGCCAGTGCAATAGATTATAGAGACAGGCCAATTTTCTCACATCTCGACAGCCCCAGACAGCGACACTTTTTGTAGTAGAGTTCTATACGCTATTTTTCAATATTTTAGCAAGGCACTGTGGCACTTTTTCTACTCGAAAGGGCAGAAATTCAGACATATTCTGTTGTAAGTGGGGTCATAGTCTGCTGTGTTTCGCTTATTGATTTGGCATATTTAAGCCAGATGCCCTGACGTAACCTTCTCATTTTTAAACATGGCAGGATAATAAAAAGAAGAAGAAAAAGCTGCCCTGGAGCAAACTGGCTGAAACATGACTGCCAATCTGCACTAATAACCACAAATCTCTCTCTCACACACACACGCACACGCACACACACATACACACACACACACACACACACACATACACACCATTCAAGATGACTTAAGTGCCTTGCCCTATGACACAACAAAAGTAGGGGGTTGGAGCTGGATCAGACAACCTTCCAATTATTAGGCTGAATCCGTGAGGCTATATTTTTCTTGTAATAATATGTCTCATTTGGTTAGGCTTATATTAGAGGCCAGTACTGTTGATTTTGATGTTAAGTAATAGACTCGATACTCAATACCGATTCCAATACTACAATACTAAAAAAAAACAAAAAAAAAACACTCTTTATTTAGACAAATTCAGAGTGTATAAGAGTAATAATAGTACTTTCATTTATATTGCCATGCTGTGTTATATCTAATTTCTCAGTTGTCCAGGTATCTATCCAGGTCTATCCAGGTCTGATTCAACAGCCGGTTTCACTTTGTGGAAACCGTCTGACCTTGCAGCATAAGAATTCATATGCTTGATGGTAGGCGGGTGCTTTTTTATTTAACCATCGCTGCTATATTGTCATGATGTATGTAATGTGCCACTAACGGGGCTAAAATCCATACAAAGAAGGGCAATAACGTCTTTCCCCTTGATAAAATTCACCAAACATTCTCTTTGTTCTGGCTTTAGATCCTCAATCTCAGGAATCGTTGCCAACACAGAATGTATGTCTTCGTCTTCATCCGTCTCAGCTGCTTTGTTTACTGTTGTGCTGTACCACAAAAGGGACCCAGACAGGCGCTTGAGTTTGACGTCATGGCTTTAATCAATCAATCAATTAAACTTTATTTATAGAGTGCTTTTTATACAAAAATGCAACACAAAGCGCTTCACAGCTCTTTGCTGATTGGCCGATGCGCGGTCTACAACTTCCGGGGTTCTTGCAAACCGTCTAGTGTATTCTGATTCCTAGTCTATGGAGAGAAATGAAATTGAGCGAAGGCACTAGGTGGCACCAGCCTGTCTAGGTATATTCCATAGTGCTGTATTATCGATAACTACTCAAATTAGTATGTAGCTTCCATAACTAGTTTATGGATTAGTACCTGATATTTGACAACACTAGATGCAAGTGTGGCTTAGTGGTCTCATTTACCATACTACTTTTAAATACTTTCATACTTTTGGTTCATGTGGGGTGTACATATTGTGGTCAGATCTAGCATCTTTGCTGTTGTTTACATAATACACATTTCAGTCAATTGCATTAGTTTGTCTGTTTGAGTGAAGTGAAGTACAGAAGTATAATCAGACACTTTCATGATTGGTAGATATAATATTTATGATGTAAGCAAACAACTGAACAAATACAAGAATCATTTTACCCCTTTCTTATAAATGTTGTCACTTCAATGATGACTCTTATTAAAAATACAAACCAAAGTCACTATTTGCAGAGTGAA